TCATCTCGCTTATTCAGTTAAACTCCAATAAATCATCCCCTGAAACTGATATCCATTCTAAGTACAAATGCTAGCTTCAAAACTAACGTTTATAACGTTTACTACCTTTGATATTTATTTTTAGTTGTTACGAATTCTATTGCTATACTCGGACATTAAATTAATAATTCTATAATTAGCTCACGATAGTCGATAGTTTTTTATGATACGTTCTCCAGGATCCAGACGTTACGGCGCTAAAAACTCATATTAAAAAAAACAGTTTTTGGCAGTTTTACAACCTTTATGCCTGATGTACACTGCGAACATTTTAACAAAACAAAATGACTGTTTTGCCGAAAGAAATATTTCTGTTTTTTAACTTTCCCTTTTTTTAAAATAAAACCTAGCATAATTTTTTTTAAGTTGAATAACTGAATAAACATTTTAGGTTGCTATTTGAAAAAAAAAAGTTCGATGTCGTTCCGACGCTCCAACATTTCTTCGAGAATTTTTTTAGAAAAACCCGTTATTTATCGTTTCCGAAATTCGTCTGGATAACGCACGTACGTACAGTCATTGACAAAGGTAATAATCGCCGAATAGGTAAGTCTCGCACCACACGCAACCAACATTTGAATATATTGTGCAATTTGGAAAAGCGAACCAGAAATTAACCTATCTCCTCCTTGAAAAAACCGACGGATCCCGATGGGATAGGCATGTTGGTTGCTTATGCTCCAGAGTTTACCTATTAGGCGATCATTACTTTTGTTAATGACCGTACATATAGCGAGCGGCTAAAATATGTAACAAATTTATTTAAAAATCAGGTGTTGGGTTTAAAAACGTACATATAGTTTTTTCTTGCGCATTTTTTGCACTAAAGAGAAAATATACAGGGTGAGTCAAAAAAGAAGATTTTTGATACCAAAGTTGATTTTTTTAATGGAACAGTATAAGCTTTCGGAGCAAAAGTAAAAAAAAACTATTCAATTTTAGATACATACGTAAATTTTTTTGCACTCTGTATATTTTCTCTTTAGTGCAAAAAATGCTCAATAAAAAATTATGATAAACGTGTGCGAGAATTTTTTTTAAACCCAACATTTGATTTTTAAATGAATTTGTTACATATTTTAGCCGCTCAGTGTACAGTAATCTGCCCTTATCAAAATAACCATACGGGGTCAGGTAAAGAAGTTATCACACCTTTCTAAAGGCAACACCCTATATATTTTAATCTAAAAAGATAGCATATTAAATTCTCTTTTCAAAAATATAACACCAGGGAAAATATCAAAAAACGTTCAAATGATTCAAAAAAATTCCGAAAGGTTACAAAAAGATTTATCAAAATTTAAAAGAGGTTTAAATCATACCAACAATTTTAGAGATTGGAAAATATTTTCAATCCTTTTGAATCAATATTGAATTTTCAAAAAGAGAATTTAATATGATATATTTTTAGATTAATTATACAAGGTTTTTTATTTAAAAAAATTAGGTTAGGTTCAATAACTTTTTGACTCAATCCCGTATATTGATTTTGAAAACGTCAGTTTATTCAACAATCATTCTTAAGATGGTTTATAGTGAACATTTTTCTGTTTTATCTGAATCTGTTATCAGAATTTCCATAATACGCTAGATGTAGAAAGCTACCTTCTTATTTGTTATGCCCGCCATATTGGATTTTTAAGGAATGAGATAGAGGACAAAAAAAGGGAAATAATGAGGTGTCACATTCTATACTTTTATGGAATTTACAAAAGCTACCAGGATGGATACCTTCTTATTTGTTATGGGCGCCATATTGGATTTTTAAGGAATGAGATAGAGGACAAAAAAAGGGAAATAATGAGGTGTCACATTCTATACTTTTATGGAATTTACAAGGAAGATTTCAAAATCAAATGTTTTACATTCATTTCTCAACAAAAATTCCAAGGGTAACTAGGTAGATCTTGATGAATCAACATGGCTATAATGGCGACGGCCTCCAATCTGACAGGCCTACTTACCGCGTACCATACACCTTGTTTCACTCACACATTTCGTATGGTATCTTGCTATGGGGGGGGGGGGTTCGCGGCATGCAGCTCGAGTCTTCATTTTACAAAAAAAGCTCTAAGGATCATTATGGGTATCTCTTCTAATGTATCCTGTAGAACTCATTTTAAAAATTTATATATTTTAACACTACCAGCTTTGTTTATTTTATATTCGCTTGTCGAAATTCACAAATGCAGTGCGACGTATCAAAAACACTCGGATATTCATAATCACAACACAAGATCATCAAATCTCTTAGTATTACATAAACATAGACTAAAACTCTAACAATTCAATTGACATTCAATTGTATAATAAACTTCCGGCAATCTTTAAAACACTATAACTATCCCAATTCAAATCTTCCCTAAAAAAAGTTCTTACCTCACATGCGTTCTACTCAACTGTAGAGTACTTGGATTGGGCCTCCATGTAGTCAACTAGTCCTGTATGTTGTATGTATTGTATGTCATTACGTTTGTCTTATACTTTTATTTGTCTCTCTTGACTTGCCACAAACAAAATTATATTTATTGTAAAGTGGTTTGAATAAATATTATTATTATTATTATTAAAAATTTTCCATTCATTATTGTAATAGCATATAGCATTTCATTTAAAACAAGACCCTGTACATACCAGCAAATAACTTTGTACTGTAGTTTTTTGTGTAGCATCACACTCTCACAGCGATATGAGATTGCACGAAGTGGACACCCTGTATAAATTGTTCTCTATTATGGTGTGTACAGTCCGGGCCCATTTCTGCCGTGTTCAACTAGTTTTAGGGGAATGGTCCTAGAGTCCTAGAATTGTTTGCAATATGCAATAGGTGCCAGACGCTGTCTTAAGCCCCCCCCGCCCCCGAATTATTTCCTGAGATTCGCATACATTTTGTTTGTAAACTCGTGTATGCAAAGACTTTTCGACATTTTAAATATATTAAGAGTGCACCTACCAAATTTCATGAAATTCTAACCAAGAATTGCACAATTTTGTTTTCGTAGTAGTATAGTACTATTCGATAAACAAATGACAACATTTTGTGTTCGTACAATTGGCAACAGTGCGAGGCATGCATCAGTGAAAGCAATAGTTTATTAACGAAGATCGGAGGAGTAAGTGATTTGATTTGGTAGTTCGATGTTTATAATCGGTATACAGGTGGGTCTAACACCATTTGTAGTAAACTAATGAAATTAATTAAATTATACGTACAACAGATGAATAATTTACAAATGAAATTCTTGTAAATTCAATTTGGCACAGGCATCAAAATTTCTCACTTTAGTTACCAAACAATGATATCCGCTATGTCCTTAAAAGTCTTGACGTTGTTGAGATACTGATATGAGCCTCCTCTGTGGTCGTACCTGATTGTATACATTGAGATTATTTCACGTTATCCATTATTATCCAAATAGAACTTTTGCGCGTACGACAATCAAATGAAACAGTTTTATAAAGAGTGCCACAAACATTTAAATAAAATACAGAAGATTTTTGCAATACACAGCGGACTACCAACATTTAAAAGCCGAAGCATCAGATAAAAGTGCTAGGCAGGCGCCGTTCAAGTATCCAGTAATTATAAATTTAGTTAGTTCTTTTGAATTCGGTAGCTTTATAGCTGTGACACCCTAGCCAAGAAAAATCTTGACGGCAATTTCCTTATTTATTTAGATATTTTCTTGAATTTTAAACTACATGCTTCTATTAAAGACAAACAAATCGCATATTGTAAAAATCAGATAATGCCAACTTTCTTATTATGGAGACATTACTTTGAAATTTTAACCATAGACGCTTCTAGTAAAGAAAAACAGGCGATAGAGCACATAGCTATGGCTTTTTGGGATTACACGCTATGACCATTAATGTAACTTGTCTATATTCCAAATTTGAACTAAATAGCTCAAAAACTGCAGGAGATATAAGGAAAAAACTTGAAAATCTTCCCTGTTGATCGGTAAGGTATTTGCGGACCTATGTTTATATCCCCTCCTTTATGGCCGATCAAAGGCGATCGGCTCTGGTTATATGATACTTCCATTTGTGTTATTCATCTGTAGTAAGTAAAGACAGCGTGTACATAAAGTTTGCATCAAGATCTCACATTTTATGGAAGGTAGCTTTTCCACATGCGAAAGTTCAGAGAATACCACTTTTTCCTCAATAAAAAATGAGGCGAGATTCTGTGTAAAAGCGAAAGTAAGAAATTCTGCTTTAAACACGTCGCTTTAAAGTCTGCCAGGACATCACCAATGAATACATTTGTTCCAGACGTCCCAATCGCACTTTGTGTGTACCCTCCTCCGACAATTCGCTCTTGAAGTACTTGTGTAAGGAATTGATAGAAATTGATTCCTTTCGTTGAGTCATTTGATAGGGCATTTTTTCTGATTTCAAAAAGTTAATATCACTATTTTTTAAATATTGTTCTTTTTTACCTGGCAAACTTTGTTTGGGTAGTGTATGTTCGTAGTTTTTTGCGTTTTTACGAATAGCTCCATTACTTATTAAAAAATAGTGATGGCTACATTTTGAAATCAGAAAAAAATGCTCTTACCAAATGGCACAAAAAGTAAAAATGACTTCCATAAGAAAAAAACAAAGTTGATGATGGGCAAACGGAGACGAAACGTCAGACGTAAAATCTTGTAGAGCGAAAAAAGTGGCCATAATAATGTGTCATTTATTTGAAATATCTGTTTAAATAACTTCGGTAAAAAAATAAAAACGATTTTGCAAAATTCTCCAATTCCACTTTCCCATATAAGGCTAATTATTGCTTGACGTTTCACAGCAGTATAAAGTGTATCCGAATCCGTGACAATTCAAAATAAAGATTTGATGAATCTATTGCATACTTCATGTACACACTGGGTAATTGTTTCCCACTTTTTGACAATATTTGGTATTTAATGTCTGCCAAAAGGATTGAACACTCACAAATCCATGCAACAGTGATGAGCGCAATAATGGAAGAGGCAGAACACAAAACTGAAGAAGGTCTTAATCCGACCCGACCCGTAGAATCGCCAGGAATCAGGAAGAAGAAGAAATTAAAGAAAAAATCAACAGTACTAACAGAAGGTAAAATTCCGTTTCCACCACGTGGTGAAGGTCAGGTGTTAAGCGAGAACCATTCGGATACAGTAAAGGAGGCGAAAGTTACAGGGAATTCTTCGATCGAGACACGCTTTCAAGGTGCGCAACCAAAGCAAATAAAAATTAATCCTTGTACTTCTTGTGGTGGAAGTCACGGAGAAAATAGGAAATGCCCTGCAGTGTACTGGTTTTGTTTTTCCTGCTATAACTATGGGCATTCAAAAAAGATGTGCCCATTTAGAGGCTCTACAGGTTTTAAGCGTGCACTGAAAGACGCAAATCCGCAATGTTCAAATTGTGGTCTACACCATAGCGCAGATTTAAAGTGCTCCTCCATAGTGACTAGTCGACGGCGGCGGCGTTGTTACGCTTGTCTAGATTTTGGACATAGGGAAAAGAGGTGCCCATTGAGGGATACGGTCAATTATAAACTGACAAAGGGGCGTGCCAATATGAGTAGATGTCCGAAATGTGACCGACGCCATAAGAAACGCTTGGAATGCGTTACAGTTCCGTTGAGATCAGCACCATTGGGATCAATAAGTGAGGTACCGAAGTTCGGTAAAGTTGATGCAGCGTTGGACAACGGCGTAAGTAAACTAAATAAGAAAGTCTTCTTTAGTCTTTCTATTTTTTCTATTTTTCGTCGGGCAGTAAAAAAAATTGAAAAAACACATTGAGATCTTAAAAATAGATTAAGATGAATATTGAAAAGTCCCTTTTTCAACGAAAATTTTGTTTTTGACTATTTAGTTCAGATTCTGTGTTGTGTCGGACGGACGGGCAGGCAGACAGACGGACTGATAGACAAAGTGGCTGCAATAGGGCACCCAACTTCGTTGGAAAATGCGCTAAACATTGGGAAAAGGTTATCTTCTGTCATCACAAAAAGGATGCACACTCAAGTTTTTTACCTACACTTTCAATGGACCCCCTTTGCAATTTTAAATTTAGTTCTTGTTATTACTGCACGAGTAACAAGCTTATTGACAAAAATCTGCTCCCAAAATATGAACAAATGGGCTTGGTTTTTTCCAAAATTATAATCAAATTAAATAACATAGTGCGTCATGATAATAAAATAAAATCCTTGTATCCCGCATATAAAATTAAAGGAAATCAGGAAATTAGATAAAGTTCTGGGGAAGATACTATAGAAAATAAATTCTGAAAATTGTTAAGTAAATTTGTGGAAAAATAACTATGGCAATGTAACCAACTGTGAAGAAATAAAGTAAAATATTCGGGGGTGTCTGTCTGTCTGTGCATGATGTAAATTTACTTTTAGACCACCTGTCGACTTAGCGGTCTGCGTCCTAGTTGCACAAAGCCACTATTCGCCCTGTAAAAAAATTCATTTCATACTCGATTTCATAGCTCCAGAATAGAGAACGGGAGTGGATGAATGTAGTCGGATGTATGCGAATTAATTACCCGTGTGAACTTGGCCCCCCAACTTTAGAAAGCAATAATTTTCGTGATTAAAATCGATTGCGCTTCATTTGCGCACAATTGCATTTTGTTTGCGCGCTGCCCGTTTCAAAATTACGAAGGAGTCAAATTTGGGGGGGACAACTTCACGACTGCCCCACATCTTTACAAATTTGACATTTTTAGCGCATTTTCCAACGAAGTTGGGTGCGCTATTGCAGTCACTTTCTCTGTCCGTCCGTCTGTCCGAGGCCTTAATTGTATTGGTATTGGTAGCGCAAACATGCGCAAACGAAGCGCAAACGATCACAAGAAAAAAAAGTGAAATTTGTAAACCTGGGGGGCAGTCGTGAGGTTGGCTCTCCCGAATTTGATTCCTTCGTAATTTTGAAGCCGACAGCGCGCAAACAAAATGCAATTGTGCGCAAACGAAGCGCAAACGATCAAATGGGAAAAGATGGCAAATTTGAAAATGGGAGGCCAGTATGGAATTTTGTATTTGGAATAACTCAAAAACGACGGGGGCGCAAACGAAGGTATTGGTAGCGCAAACGAAGCACAAACGATCACAAGAAAAAAATATCAAATTTGTAAACTTGGGGGGCAGTTGTGAAGTTGGCCCCCCCAAATTTGATTCCTTCGTAATTTTGAAACGGGCAGCGCGCAAACAAAATGCAATTGTGCGCAAACGTGCGCAACGAAGCGCAATCGATTTCAATCACGAAAATTATTGCTCTCTAAAGTTGGGGGGCCAAGTTCACACAGGTGAATTAATTACACTTAAAACATTAAATGTAGAGTACTCGACCTGTGTGATCATTTTTCGTAAAAGACACGAAACACGTATAAACCAAACGAGGACAAGGTAATGAATGGACGATAGAAAGGTATATTATTTAGTTAATTAGTAAGCTATCATTATCAATATTATCTTCGTTTTTTAGAAATAATTAAAATAATTTGGCGACAACCTAAACAAGAATTGTACGGTATTTCTGAATTTTCACATCGCTGAATCGCTTTTTTCAAATTTTTTATTTAACAGATTTGTAGTCCTGAAGACATTACCTACTTATTTTTTGGCCACACAATTTTAAAGAATGAGGCTGAAGGTATCTTCACTCAATTTAAGCATCAGTTTTATTTCGAAGTTTCAAAAGAAGTTTCAGAGAACCAAAATTGAGAAAGAATGTTGCTGATCAAACTGTTAATTTTTTTGTTTAATTATCACGTCGGACTGTACTTAAAACATTATCGCAGTGCACTACTTATTCAGTTCAGTGACACCTCCCAATTTTCATCTGACCGCACAACACGATCATTTGAATTAATCGTATGTTAATTTTATTAAAAATATTTAAATGGGAAGTACTTCCAAAATTACGACCGAACTAAATTTTGTGACCGCGATTTGCGATAAAAAGTAAAACTCACCTGGGTTACTGCCAAAAATGAAAGAAAATTGCTACATCATTTCGGCTTGTTTAAAGCTCCCTTTCTGATTCATACAGCTGCTTCTTTATCGTGATTAATTCTATTATGGCTATTTATGGTACAAGTGTAATTAAAGAATTTATTGTGTCCATACTTGTGTTTTCCGACACTAAAATAGCTATGTTGAAAGTCTTCAAGGAAGCTGTGAGGAAATCCGTTAAAATTAAGGTAATTATCGAAGTGTCTGAGGTTAACATGCCATGATCGGAAATTGGGAAATTGGTTTGAATTACACACGCACTAGTGGTGAAATTTATCTGATCCATATAACTATTGTGTGTGCATCTAGGCAGGAATATCAAAAAAATGTTAGCGCCACGGCCGCCACCAAAACTAATTTTGATCAGCAATAGAGATCGATTAATATGATTTTTTCTGACACCTTTGGTTTGTTAGAATGTAGGACCTTCAGCAAAAAAAATCTTTTACAGATGTCCAAATTTGAGTAAAACCTTCAATTATTTAGGTACCAATTTCGTTGCTGAAAAGGTACAACACATTGTTGTTGTCTTGATGAAAAGATATAGTTAGTATAACGTTCACTACTTTCAAGTGGATGATTCAGCGAATCGTTTCCAAGAAAATAAAGTGCACAATTTATTTTCTTTTTCTCACTGTCAAGGTACTTTTGTAGCCCCTCATAGTTCGGACACCTATTCAGTGGGCAGTGGTGGCCAATCCCTGAGGCTCCCAAAACCCTGAGTACTTGTGTCGATAGTTTCCTATATTACCTTTAACAAGTCCTGGTCGAGTCCGATTCCTTGAAACTCTACTCCTGTATTGACAAATGGCAATCAACCTTTTACCAGAAAAGCCAGGAAGTTGTCCAAATGACGTCTACCGCAAGCTTCAGGAGTAAACGTACCCGTACCGTACGTGAAAATGTGCTAGTCATGTCAATGTAGTTTCCTATATTACATTTAATGAGTGATCGTCGAGAACCCTTACGGATGTCTCTACTCCATGAAGCATTACGGCATCCTTTCAACCAGGTTTACTGGAATCGAGTAGCACGGATCAGATTTTATGAGTAAAAGCCATGGAGCCTAGCAATCACCCGCCTGGAATACTTAGCTCCGCCACAGAAAAATGCCACTTTTTTTGTGAAACTGTTAATACCATTAACAGAATCATTCTAGCTACGTTTATTTTTCAGATACAGAGTGAAAACGAAAAGTGTGGACTTTTTGGAATGTAATCTTATCTTATACCAGCCATGTGAGATAGAAAAAAATCCATTTTAGATACTTTTACGTAGAAACCAGTACGTATTCTATAACAATTGTTGGACCACCGTTTCTGTAATTTGACCCAATTTTGGTATTTCTAAATGCAACATCCTGTATATCTTAACGTCAATTGTTTTGCATTCCTTTTCCTGATTACATTGATGAATCACAACCTATATTTTTTTTTAATTTTAGCCAGAAATGGCTTATTTTTTTACTGTTTTTAATTAGTAGGCCATTGATTCATGGAGATTCTGTTGTGTTTATTGTCAAAGGCAGCCAATGGTTGATGAATGCTGTGGTGAAGTTGAGGTGATCCTCTCATCTCCAACGCACTGTATATAACTCACCATAATTAGTTAATCAACATGTGCCTCAAACAAACAAACCAGATAAAAAGGCTCCTTTTTAGAGGCAAATTCTCGAGCAAATTCTTCTATATGAATGTAGTCTCTTTTCAGCAAACGAAAACTCTCCCCGTAGCGGCCGTAGCATGTAGGATTTCTTCACCAAGTTCTAAAAAATGAGGGTTCCTTTTTAATTTTTTCTCATATGCAAAATTTCCACAAATTGGAGATGGCTTCCGTTTCAGTTCCACCCTTTCAACCGAGTGGTGGGAGGAATACTAAAATTGGTACACTTATTCATAAATACACTGCCGTATTTATTGTACTTCATTTGTATTTATGGGATGTAAGTGGATTTAAACGCATTTAAAGCTATTTAAAATGTTACGTACTTAAATTTTTAATCGAATTTATTTTAATCTCTACATGGTGGTTCAAATTAGTCTCTCGGCATTGGGATCAACGTAACGGTGAGAGATAGAGTGTAGAGTATGTTAAATGGGGGCAAAGTTGGCCCTTTTTGTGACGAACAAAACGCATTTGAAATTTTTGAAAAATCTGAGATCACCGAAAAACTGAAAATGGTAAATTTCATCTTCATTTTTCCTAGCTTCGGTCGGTAATGGACGGTTCGTGTTATCACCTTCTATGGGCTTCTATTCCTTTGAATTTGTTCTCAAAATTTCTATAACTTGAAGCTACAGGCTACTACTTTCTTATTTATTATGGCGCCATCTTGGATTTTTACGGAATGAGATAGAGGACAAATAAAGAAAAATAATGACCTGTCGCACTGTATACTATTACATAAATTTCAAATATTTTACATTTATTTCTAGATCTTGCTCAATCAACATGGCTAAGATGGCAATGCATTCAAATCAATTTCTCATATCTCATTCTGACAACTGATTCAGATTCTCCGAAAAAAAGTGCCCATAGAAAGTGCCAACGGGAACCGTCCATTTCCGACCGTTTAAGCTATGGAAAATGAAAACGAAATTTGACATTTCCAGTTTTTCGATGATATCTCGGTTATTTGCAGATTTTTCAAAAATTTAAAATGCGTTTTTTAGTCAGAAAAGAGTCAACTTTTATCTACACTGTGTACCCTACACTGTATCTCTTACCGTTACGGAGATACCAATGGCAAGGCACCAATTTGAATCACCTTGTACACAGTTATTGAATACAAATGTCGTACTTAAACGACGTCAAGTTCTTTCAGATTGAACGTATCGATTTTCGCAATTTTTTCGAAGACGTTTGATGGTAGACACACTTGGTTATAAAGTAGGTAATTAAAAAGAGAACGAAAAGTTTCTACAACTACTACAACTAAAATTTGAATCCAGCGGTTGTGCCTCTTCTAATTTACCTTACAATGTGTTTAATCACATTACGTTTTGTATATTGTAGCGAGTATCCCAGACATTGGGGCGCCAGCAAGTCAATAAAAGATTAGTCACCAGCGATAAGGAATGAAAGCAGATGAGGCGCATTCTTTTCTTGAAATATGAAGAACGTTCCGCGATTTTTTCTAGAAACGTTCAATTTGGCTTCCCCTACAGAGCACAGGTGGGCGACAAATTTGTTCCACACGCATTTACCAATTTATTTTGCAGTTATTCTATTATTTTTTTAATTACAGTGGCAAGTCGGGCAAATAGTAAGGAAACTTTTGCTTTTTGGAAAGGAGTTTACAATTCAATGTTGACTACGCGTATAATAAACATTCGAAAAAATTAAAAGAACGGTTTTATTCCATTTTGTAATACGAGATTGAATACCGAATTAACAACTATGACTGTGGTCCAAATAAAAATTAACACTATCAACAATAACATATATAGATGTATGTATCCTAGATAACCGAGTTATTTTTTTTTCAGATGAATGTGAGGGTGACGACGATGGACGCCGAACTTGAGTTCGCGATCCAACAAACCACCACCGGAAAACAACTCTTCGATCAAGTTATTAAAACCATAGGCCTTAGAGAAGTTTGGTTCTTTGGCCTCCAATATACAGACTCGAAAGGAGACTTAACATGGATTAAACTTTATAAAAAGGTAGGATATCTTTATTAGTGTAATTAACTGTAAAATTTATTGCTAGTCAATACGAGTATTTGTTAGTTTGGCTTAGGCATCTCAATATACAGCGGAGGATTTTCAACTTGATTCCAATTGAGGGCGTGCAAATAAAATTGGCTTTTTTAAACAGTCAAGAGTAAAAGAGCCACCCTTTATTCAGTAACATTTTGTAAATGGTTTCGTTAGAAATCGCGATATTGATTTTTATGAGATCTTTAAACGAGCATGGAAAGTTTATTCGTACCATTTCAAGCACTTCATGTTCTACCAAAATTGGAAAAATACTTTTATAGGTATTTTCACTTTCTTTTTAATTCTTTCCCTTTCGATTTTTAAATGTGACTGTAATGATTTCGGTTAATATTTGGTCAAGCGCCCCCAAATCCTCGTAACCTTTTTTGGTTTGGCAAGTGTTGATCTTCAAAAATAAAGCACATAAAAATATTATGAGACTAAAAAGGGAAAATGGTTATGTATCGTCACTAAGATCTTCATCACCCTGTTTAAAAACACTGTAATCATTATAATACCTACTGCTAATGCTTTAGAAATATCTATAAAATTTTCAGTATAGTTTCAAACCCATCTTATTCAAAAGTGTAAATGAATGTGCATTTTTATACAGAGTGATCTAAGCATGTATAGCATTCGTGTTAAAAACTATAGGATAATCAGTTGCTAGGTATAGAAATTTCTAAACGCCAGTCATAAAGGAAGAAATAATTAATTTTCACATTTAATTAATCGATATGGATAAGAAATGGGAAGTACAAAACTCGATAATTTAATCAGTTGGATTCTGAACTGAATTCTTTTAATTTAAGGTTTTTATTTTAAAATTGCTCTTATAAATTAATTTTGTCCGATCGGCCGTTAGAGCTTAAAGACAAGAGGGATGACATCTACCAGAGGTGTGTGTATTTAGATCATGGAGATTAAAGATTATTTGGGACAGGCACATTCTGCTTCTTTTTTTCATTCAATTTCCTAGCAATTTAAAAAGCAACTCTCGAGTTTCGAATCGAGCGACGATGGGTTCCTGATTAAATTAGTGAGATGCCCGCCTTCAAGAATACTGCTAAGTATATTTCGGAATGCGCACTCAGTTTAGTAACGATTGAGTGTGTGCCATAATGGTTTAGTGGCAAGGATACTCGGCTTGAAACAGGGGGGCTCGGGTTCGATTCTTTGTATGAAGTTTTTTTTAATTTTTTTCACAAAATCCGTATCCCATTCAGCGGAGTTGGACATTAGGTTAATGGGTTGATTGTAGGTTTAAGATTCTCTTCTTAATTTGTGTGAAAAGCAAAGTTGTACAAAAATGCCGCGAAGTTTTCCGAAGGGGATAACGCGCCACCGGGCTGTACCACAAGCTCAAAATGAATTATTGTTTATATGAAAAATTTAGGGCGCTTTTTATGTCAACTAATGCTGAACTACTTTAACAATTTTGTGAGTGTTGTCCTTTTTTGTAACATTAAAAACTTTTGACTACGCAGAAATGATTATTGAAAACACTCACTGAAGAATGCGGATTTTAAGTATGTGGTGGGTCGATATTCATCTATCCTTGTTTTATGGGTATACGTTCAATCGGAGGTATATTATTTCATCTAACGTTTTCAATTACCCATCGGGATATCAATTGCTTATAAATCGTTAATAATAAGAGTAGAAGATATCCCAGACGCAGCAGACTTTTATACAGGTGAAGCGCGACATGGTGAATCATCACGTTGGTGGTCAGATTGCTGGTTTTCAAGGTAAACTCGTTTGAACTGTGCAAACAATTGAATGCTATGGTAGAGGTGGGTGGTAGTAATGTTCTATTTATGTATCTGATGATCATCTTCGCAAGAACGAACGGCCTCTGTGGGTGTAAGTCGTTTCTAATCGAATCAATTTTGACCGGCATTGTGTTACATGAGCTGATCAACATGTGGTTTCGTGACGTCAATTTATTTAAAAAATGATCTCATATGTTCCCCTAGGCAACGTGTCATTATTTTTCTATGTAATTTCACCATTGATAACGACGATGCGTTCACCATGAGCCGAAACACGTACTGGGCGACCTTAAAAAATAGTGCACGTTGCCTTTTAGTATCGCCTGTTAGTAAACTGTACAATGTCGCGTGTGCATTGCACAATGCACCGAGCAGACCTAAACTTTGGTCATGCAGTTACATGCAGAGTTGAACTGTTCTATTACGGTCTACCGAATCCTACCACATATCTTTATTTTTCAATCAACTTCCACAGTTTTCAAAATATTCATGTCCTTCACGCTTTGGCAAAGAAATCTTACTTAACTGGTTCTCCTAAGATTTAAAAACATTCAAAAGGATATTTAGTCACCAAACGTTTTCATATCTTTTTAGTGTGATTATCTCAAAAACGTCCTGTAGGAAGAGGGAAAATGATCGATGTTAACGAGACGCTTCCGTTGATGGTGCCACAATTTCAATTGCGAATATCTCCTAAACGAACCCTATTAATTGCGTGCAGAGATCCAAGATTCCTGGATGCGCAAAAGCATATTTTAGTTAGGGATTTATTGTGCACTTGCAAAAGTTCTTTACTGGAACATTCCTGTATATTAATTAGTGGGCTCTACGGAAAATGAATCCATGGCGCTTATCATTATTTAATTTATGAAACTTTTGATGGCTCCTTATCTCAATAGTAGTTTACTCAACTATGGTGTCAGAACATTGTACAAATTTAACTAATTTAAAGCTAGGAGTGCTTGTTTGTTTTGTTTAATTAATGTTTCTGACTAATAATCTAAAAATGTCTATAAATTGATAATGACAAACTCTGCTTAATCATAGATTGTGCATGTAAATTATTTTGCAACACTAACCGGTTAAATTTCTTTTACGTATGCGACCTTCGTTGACGTAGTCATTCCATTAATTTATGGCACAAGTTCACTCCTCTAATCGAAACTCTGGAACAGATGTCTCGTAATTCGTTGACCGTTTCTATCTTAATTTGCCAAGAGCTTGTAATTTAAAAAAATCCTTTTGTGAAACTAATTTTGCAATAAGTCATGCAGAATAGTGTGATTTCTCGTAGGCTTTGAGTCGGTAAGGACAGACAGGCGGGAAGAATATTTTGTGGAATGAGTGGTGGACATTTGTTTAATTTGCAATGAGTATTAAAAAAGTTCAATTATGTATTATACTTTCGCTATTGGGTGTTTGGTCTTTTTTTCAACAAAATTAGTGTGTAAAAAATGACTTTAACATTTTGAGCACGAAAAAAATATGTGGGTCATGTCTTAGGCGGCGAACATTCGTGTTTAGTTTTTTACGATCGCCCAAAGTCTAGGAAAAGTGCCGACATAATCCTTTTCAACTTTTGGCTTTTTCGAAAAACGTGCTCTCTCAGTTTTGTCCAAGGAGTATTTGTAAAGGGGAATATCAGTTGTACGAACTCACATCACAATTATAGGAGGTTTTTTTTGTGTGCAGATAACTATCATCTCTAATGCTCTAATTTTTTAATTTAATACCACGAAAATACTTTAATATGATTCTAATATGTACTCACATCCAAAAAATTTTTGAAATACATCTTTTAACAAACATAATATTTAAAAAAAACAGAAAACCAGTGGTTTTTACCATGATTGAAGTAGGCTCTAATCATTTCAAAAAAATTAATTTTTCATTTTTTTAAAATTTGATAGCAGTAAAACACGAGGTGGATTTATTTTCAAACATTTTTGATAAATAGATAGACAGAGTAAAGCCACTTTTACCATTGAAAATAAATAATGGGTTTCTATCACTTTAATATGATTGCAGTAGGTTCTGATTATTTTCAAAAATGTTTTGAATCCTAATTATTTTAAGTGGATGCAATAAGGATTATTTTCAAAAGTTTTTTGAATTTTTCATTTTTGATAAAGTAAAATGAGAGTAGTAAACCAGAGTAACTGCTCTTTCTATTAAACATATTTCATTTTTAAACCTTTAGTATGATTGAAATTCAAACTTTTTTATTATATATAAATGGGTCAATATCATGGTATAATAAAAAATAAAAAGTCAATATACAGTAGCGCCGACTCTTAATATTGAAAATAATGGGCCGCTAAACACTAATGATTTAAGTACTTCTTATTGAAGGTGTTGTATTTAGCATGGTTTCGCAATGAGGTAGAATCACTAGACAGAAAATGCCCTTAACCTTCCCCATGAGACGATTCATGTTGAAGGTTAAGAGTATTTCTACCTAGTGAATGATTTAAGTATGTAGATATGTACAGGGGCGGACTGGCACGGGAGGGGGGGGCGGGTGGCGATTGCCACCTAGTCTATAGATCATAATGGCCTGTTGGAAATTTATAAGTATGTGCTGTATTTAGTTTCTTGCACTATTAATAAATCATTAACACGTTTCTCTAGTTGGGGTTGATGTTAGGTTGTTAAAAAATTCTGTTTAAATTGAAGTGTTTTACAATGAATTGATCATTTTTTGTCGTAGCATGAAAGTGCTGAAATACAATGATAGGCGACGCACCACGTGTGGATTGTATATTTTGTTACTTTTAATTATCAGCTGCAATTAAAAAAAAAAACTGTATGGTAATTTATTTTCGAGAAAGGAGTACTTTAAAATGTTTTTGTGGTGCACCTCAGAGCTAACCCCCCCCCCCCCCTCGCCACCTTATTACTACACTAATACTTTAATGGCCCGTACGTACCCAGTCCGCCCCTGTGTATAACCTTCCTTTTTTACCAAAATTCAACTACACCAAAATTTCTCGGGAAAACACTTTTTCTTATTAATTTTGGTGCGTAGAATCCAAATCAATTCGTACTTTTTCGATCAAACTTCTCAATCAAAAGTTATAGACTAGAAACCAATTTCGAAAAAAAATTCAAAGGGTTGTAACTTTTGAACTAGTAGCCCAATCTTGGAACTGTTTGAAATTACGGATTCTACAGGCCACATTCTATAAG